AAAGACCCAATCCAAAAAGGGCATCTGAAATTAATAGATACTTCTCAGATCAAGAATTAGAAACAGTAAATATATGAGAAAGTGTTCAACATCAGTCATCATTTAAGAGATGCAAATTAAAACAACACTGAGATTCCATCCCACTCTAGAAAGAATGGCTGTTGTCAAAATTCCAACCAGTAACAAATGCTGGTGGGGCTATGTGGAAAAAGAAATGCTTCTCCACTGTTGGTGGGAGTGTAAACTAGTGCAGTCACTGTGGAAATCAGTGTGGCAATTCCTCAAAAACCTAAAACTAGAAGTTCCATTTGAGCCAGCTATTTCCCTTCTTGGTATCTTCCTGAGAGAATTAAAAGAATCATACTACAGCAATATATGTACACCCATGTTTATAGTGGCACAGTTTGTAATAGCTAATCTTGGAAACAACCCAAATTCCCATCAACTGATGAGTGGATAAAGAAGATTTTTTAAAAATACGATGGAGTACTAATCAGCCATGAAGAAGGGTAAGCTTGAAGTCCAGGCATGGTGGTGCACACCTGTGATCCTAGCACTCGGGAGGCTGAGGCAGAAGGATTGTTGTGAGTTCGAGATCAGCCTGGGCTACAAAGTGAGCTCAAGGCCAGCCTGAGCTGCATAGTGAGACCCTGTCTCAAAAAGATGAAAAAAAAGAAAGATAAGCTTAAGATATTTCTAGCTAAATGGATGCACTTTGAGCCCATACTCCTAAGTGAAATAAATTACATGCACATGTTTAAATATCACATTTTTTCTCTGGTGTGAGAAACCAAAAGTATAAATAAGGACCAAAATGTATAACATATACTGGGAAATAGGAAGAAAAAGTCAAATAACAGGAACGAGGGAGGAGGAAGGGGGAAAAGAAAGATGAGACAAGAAAGAATAGACTGAAAAAATGGAAACAAATGTTTTGTAAATGAGGAATGTAAGATGGGTTGAAGGGAGGGGAGGGAATAGGAAAAAAAGAAAAAGCAAGGTATATCATGTACAGGTCCAAATTCTCTATCATGAATGTTATCAGTATGTAATGCTTCTCCACTGTTGGTGGGAGTAAAATGTGCCAATAAAATTGTAAAAAGCCAAAAAAGAAAAAGAACGTGGATTCTCACCTTCCAGAGTTTTTATATGAGAAAGAAGCATCCTTTATAGTTTTAGGGTTTTATAATAACAGGTTATACTGTACATTACCATGCCTAGTTTGTGTTGGTTTCTGTCACTTGCCACCAAGAGCTTTGACTAGTATAGATAAGAGTAGAAATTTCAGGTGTGGGTGGAAGTCAAGAACTGTTCTGAACATTCATCCAGGGGTGACTGATGGGCTCTGCATTTCATTTTTATTTACTTTGATTATTACAGTGGTTTTATTTTTTATTTATTTTTTTATTTTTGGGGGTACAGACAATTGAACTCATGACCTCAGGCTTGTCAGGCAAGCGCTTATGCTGCTGAGCTATATCCCCGGTCCCCATTACAGTGGTTTTAGATTTACCAGAGGCACTCACTCGAAGAGGTTGAAGGAACCAAACTTTATTTCACTAGTGGACTCAGAGGAGCAGTGTACTCCAAAGTCTGAGCCCCCAACCTTTGTTGGGGGCTATCTTATATAGAGGTTTTAAGCCAGAACGGACAGGGTGAGTTACCGAGACAGGATGGGGCATGATTAAGCATAGGGAGTTTGAGGCAGGCTGTATAAGCAAGATTCAAGAACCGAGAGGTACAAGCAAGATCTCCTTCAGAAAGTGAAGGAGATAGTTGTTTAATGTAAGCTATCCATTTTGGTTTTATGTTTTGGTTTCCTAAAGTTTTGTTTTCCTTATCATATCTTTTGAGTACTTAGTAGGGGAATAATGAGTAGGTTTTACTGATTGGCTAATGTACGGAGTAATGATTGTCACACTTCCTTGACCAAGTGGAAACAATTTTCTGCATCATTTTCACTGAGTGCATGCAGTGCCTTAGGCCTTCTAGGAGCCATGGGGGTGGGGGGAGGAATCAATCAAGGGAACACAGAGTTAAAGAGGGGTTAATCCTTCAAGAACCAGGTATTTTGTAGCATGTCTCTCAAGTTCGCTTTGTGTGATGATTATCATTAGGCTGACCTTATGCACTTCTGGCAATCCTGTAGCCATATCTCGGCAGTGATGTCATGTCCTCAGTGAATCTTGTAAATATGTTAACCTTGATCTCTTAAGGCAGTGCCTGCCAGGATTCTCTATTGTGAACTTACTGTTTCCCCCTTTGTAATTACTAAGTATTTTAGGAGAGATATTTTGAGACTCTCGAGGTACCGTTTCTGCTTCACCTTTTGCCTATTAATTTTAGCATCCACTGGATGTTGGAGAAGGCAAACTTTTACTTTTTAGGTCCAAATTTTATTGACCCAAAAAACGGAAGGGCTAGAGTCATTGTAGGAAAATGATGGGAGAAAGCAGGAGAATAGGCAAGGTCCTTGCCGCCAGAATTAGGAAAGGGAAGGTAAACCAAATATAATCACCAGCAATTGCCTGGCGGGAGGGTTGCAAAGTTTATATTCAGGCGCGCGGTTGGCCGCCTGGTTGCCCTGGAGACGGGGTCCTTCCTAGCCTGTTGCCGCCATCTTTGGCCGTAGCTCGGGCCCAATAAGCGGCTGCGCGGTGGCAGGAGGCGGGGCAGTGGCAGCCTCGGCCAGGCCTGGCGCTCAGCTTAGTCGAGGTCATGGAGGTCCCCGCCTGTCGCTTTCTGCTGCTCCTGCTGCTCGGTGCTTGGGCCCCGGCGCCAGGCAGCGCTTCCTCAGAGGCCCCGCCGCTAGTGAACGAGGATGTGAAACGCACGGTGGATCTAAGCAGCCACCTGGCCAAGGTTACGGCCGAAGTGGTCCTCGCACACGCGGGTGGCGGCTCCACATCGCGGGCCACCTCCTTTCTCCTGGCCCTGGAGCCCGAGCTCGAGTCCAGGCTGGCGCACCTGGGTGTGCAGGTGAGTGCCGGGTCCTTCCCGCCGCCGCTGCCCGGAGCTCAGGGTCCGGGGTTCCGACCCCACCTCCGGCGGAAGTGTGAAGTCCCGGGGCGCAGGCGGGACTGAGAGGCCGCGGGGAGCCCCGGGACTCGCGTGGGCTGGGGGTGGGCTGGTCCCCTCTCCAAGTCCGCGCCGCCGCCGGGACACGTCAGCGCACTGCCGCTCCGCCCCGGCCGCGTGGGCTCCGCCCCACGAGTGCCCCACCCCGCGCGGGGACCTCCGGCCACTTGCGGGGGGTGGCCAGAGCAGCCTGGTGTCCCGATCTCCATGCATCCGTTACAGCCGGACGCCAGGCAGCGTCGGTGAATTGCAGTGAATTTCCTTCATTATCTGGTCCTCTTAAGTGCTTGCTCTTCGACTCCATCCGAGCAACCAGAAATGAACAGGCTTCCGTATGTATTCGAGTTCATAGTCACTTGAGACCCCCGCCCACAGAAGACATTTAAGGTTGCTAATGAATGCTTGCTGAAAGTTGAAACTTTTTCCAAGTTAGTTTGAGCTCCTAGGGTTAGTAGAAGCCCTTTGATGCTGTTCAGAAAAGTAAAGTTGACCTTTCTCACACCTGTGGCTTCTCATTGTTACATCTCAGCCCCAAACGGTTCCAAGTTTGGCCCCAGTACTGTACTTACACGCGTTTCCCGGAACACATGGACAGCTTCGGAAATGGAGTATACGTGCACAGAGGTTTGCTTTTTATTACTGTTTTCATTAAACACTGTTAATTAAGTGATTACCCAATTATTTGTTGAGAGGGGACTAGTCATTATGGTGTCTGTTTCTTTTAAGCACACCCTATTCGCTGGCTGAATGTGGCGCTGTAAAGCTGGGTTTATGGCGACTGGGTTTCTGAAATGACTCCTCTTCCCTTTCATTTCTGTCCGTGGTGATATGCACAGTTCTACTCAAAGGTTTCTCAAACGATATATCAAAATGTCATTTAAATGTGCACTGCCACTTTGGAATGTTTTTTGTTTTTTTGCAATTATGGGGATTGAACCTGGGGCTCTGTACTACTGAGTTTCATCTCCAACTCTTTTTTATTTTTTATTTTGATACAGATTCTTATTAAGTTACCCAAAGTAATGGCAAACTTGCCGTCTTTCTGCGTCAGCCTCCTGGGTAGCTGGGAATACTGGTGCTTGGCTACCCTTCAATATTTTGACTGTTAAATCTCATTCTTTCATAAAAGCCAGTTGTGATTTAAGGAGGTTGTCACAGTGTAACTGGATCACAGCAGAAGCCAGCTGTCCTGCTATCCTTGCTGACCATATTGTCTCCCAACTTTATTGAAGTGTAACTGGTATATAAAAAACAACAGATAATTAATATATGCAGTTTGGACCTATAGTATTGTTCACTTTGTTATTGTTACAAATCCAGGCGATAAACACATGATCACCCTCAAAAGTTGCCTTTTGTGCCTTAGATGTGCCAAAGCTAATTTGAAATTCTACTTTATGTCAGATCCCACTGCAGGAATGTTAAGTATGTTCTCTTTTAACCCTCATAGCAGCCTTCTGTTCTGGAGCATCCAGTGAGGAGTCTGTATTTGGGAGGTTGTGTAGCTCTACCTGAGTGTTTTCCAGTGAAGATAGGTCAGGCTGCATCCAGGTGAGCCTGGACCCCACTCTGAGCATGCTGTTGTGATTCCGCTGGTCTCGGCTTTGCTCACCTGAATGACTTTGAGGTAGCAAGGTTGTGCTGGTGTGTAAGACTGGTAGCTACACTACCAGGTTTCTTCAAATCACTTGTTAACTCTGTAGACCAGTTCTAGGATATATGTTCTGCTTTATACACCTTATTCAGATGATAAATTTACAAAGATGTTGTGCGTTTTCCATAATTGCCTTGGAAACTGGTGAGTTTGTGGAGGCTCTTGGTGGATTGACTTCAGCCCTTGGAGAACCCTTTCAGGAGTTGATGGAAGAGACTCTGGGATCACTGGTTAGGAACCAGTGTGTCCCCTTGTACCACAAAGACTGTCTGATAATTTTCTCTCTCACTGCAGTATTGTATTTGAAAGATATTGCCTCTCTCATCTCTTGCTAAGTAATATTTTTCAGTAAGACCAATAAATCTATATATGAACAAGTGTTCATAATAAGCATGAGTATGGTAAAATTCTAGTCAAAGTAATGGAACTTGTTTTTTTTTTTTTTTTTTGTCTTTTTGGGACAGGGTCTCTCCATGCAGTTCAGGCTGGCCTTGAACTCACTTTGTGGCCCAGGCTGGTCTTGAACTAGCAATGATCCTCCTGCCTCAGCCTCCCAAGTGCTGGGATTACAGGTGTGCACCACCATACCTGGTGGAACTTGTTATTTTTGTTGGACTGTACAACTTTATTGAGGATGAGTATGTGAATTTATTATGTAATAAGTGGACCCTTGACTTACAAACTTACTTTGTTCACAAGGGCTGGTTATAATTCAAGTTGCTTGTAAATCAAGACTATTTTTCCCTTAAGAAATAATAGAAATACCCATAATGTGTTCCAAACCTCCCAGAGCACCCCTTAACTAACCTTTTCATAATAAATGGTTGTACAGTGTATGTAATTTATCAGAAACACTAATGATTTTCCAAGTGTATTCACCAAAAAGTTATCAAATGTGCCTAGTTTACCAGAAACAATAATTTCATACTGCACTCACCATTCAAGTTGATATCTTTGGCTTGCAGGAAGGGAGGATGAAATGCAAGGTGGTTGTTGTTCGCAAGGAGAGTCCCCTTTCATAGGAACATCAGGAATCTGGACTCAGACTGATGCCTATATACGCTTATGTAAGCCTTCCTGGCATTGTGGGCCTGTTTTTTTTGTTTGTTTGTTTGTTTGTTTTGGTTTTTCTCCGGTACCGGGAACCGAACTCACGACCTTGCGCTTGCCAGGCAGGCGCTTTTGCCGCTGAGCTAAATCCCCAGCCCCAGAGGGCCTGTTTTTATAACGGCTTTCGGGTTGTCATTTGGGTAGTAACTCAAAATTTTGGTTGTAAGGTATAAAATTGCAGTTGGAAGCCAAGTTGTTAAGATGTGAGGCTCTTCGTAACTCAGGGTCCACTTTATTTTTTGGGGCCAGTATATGGAATTGAACTCAGGGCTTTTAAGTGGAGCTACATCCCCATCCCTTTATCGTTCATACATTGTGTCAATTTGAGTCTAGAAACTTAACTAAGTAATCCCTTCCTGCTCTGGGATGTTGTTCATTGTGTCAACTTGAGAAGTTTAGAAGGTTAACTAAGTGAGTGAGCAGGGGACAGGGCCCTTACTCCTATTCATCCTGAACCTGTGCAAGAGCAGGGCAGGGAGACTGTGTGAGTGCTGCACGCCCTTGGGTGGGGGCAACCTGCTTACAGTATAAGGGAGGAAAAGAGGCTTGCTTCAGCCCCACCTTTTTTGGCTCTTGTTGCTTTTGCTATTTTCTGCCACCATGAACTGTTTCCCCTGCCATGTGCCACTCTGCCTTGGAGCCAGCTGAGTTATGGACTGAAACCTCCACAAATTGGGAGCTAAATAAACCTTTCCTTCCTTAATACTGGGTGTTGGGTATTTTGTTCCAACAACAAGGGAGAAGTAAACAAGCCTATATATATGTGTGATATGTGTGTATGTATATACATACATATATATATATATTTTTTAAGAAAGAGTCTCACTAGTTGGGCGTGGTGGCGCATGCCTGTAATCCCAGCACTCGGGAGGCTGAGGCAGAAGGATTGCTGTAAGTTTGAGGCCAGCCTGGGCTACAAAATGAGCTCAAGGCCAGCCTGAACTGCATAGTGAGACCCTGTCTCAAAAAGACCAAAAAAAAAAGAAAGAAAGAAAAGAAAGTCTCACTAAGTTGCCCAGGCTGGGGTTGAATTTACCATCCTCCTCCCAGAGTGCTGAGGTTATGGACATGTACCACCATACCTGGCTTTTAATTTTAGGCTTTTTTTTAGCCCTGGGGATTCCAGCCAGGGTCTTATACTAGGCAAGTGCTCTACCACTGAGCTACATTTTAAGCCCTATTTTCAGGCTTTTTGAAATATTAAAAGCAATATTTTAAAAATTCCTTTTGGGCTGGGGCTGTGGTCCAGTGGTAAAGTGCATGCTTAGCATGCACAGGCCCTGGTTTAATCCTCCAAATAGCTTTGAATGCCCACGGGGAAGCACTTCTTTAACCCTCACCTAGGGCTAACCCATTTGTGTGTGTGGTTGGATTGACAGAGGGGTTGTTGGTATGCATATATACGCATATGGTCTTCTCCATATGTATGCTTCATATATATGCTTACGGTCTTCTCCATGGTCTGGTATGATTCAAGGTGCTTCCTCACGAGGCCTCTATGGTACCCCACTTGGTTATGAATAGGGAGTGCACCAGGGTGGCCAATAGTGGCTTGTCCCCAACGGCTTCTGCCTCTGTTACTTTCTCTGTGGGAGTAAAGATAGTCCTGGTCATGACTAGGACTTCTGTTAAATGCTCTTTATGTTCTATGCATATGCATATTTGAATTTAAGGAAGAAGATATTCAGCAGAGAAGCCTTGGAGTCTTGCAGGAGGTGCATTTGGCAATATGATCTTGGTTTGTTTGGTTTTTTTTTGTCTTTTTGAGACAGGGTCTCGCTATGCAGTTCAGGCTGGCCTTGAGCTCACTTTGTAGCCCAGGCTGGTCTCAAACTTGCATCGATCCTCCTGGCAATGTGATCTTATTTGCATGTGTGCATTTGGTCATTCAGGAAAAGGTTTCACGTTCATGAAGCTTGTTCTGTGCAACGCTGTCTTCAACATTGTCCTTAGGTTCCAGATAAAAAACCTGCTGTGGGACCCACACGTATAATCCAGCTGTACTTGAAGGGGGAGATGGGAGGAACCCAAGTTTGAGGCCAGCCTGAACAACTTAGTGAGACGCTCTCTCAAAATAATTTTTTTTTTAAAGCTGAGAATATAGCTTGGTGGTAGAGCACTTGTCTAGTGTGAGCAAGGAAGGACCTGGTTTTCAGTCCTAGCACCAAAACCAAACTTACCAGAACCAAACACAAACTTCAGTTTTTGTTTTTTTGCAGTGCTGGAGATGGAACCCAGGGCTTCCCTCATGCTGGGTGCAAGCTTTGCCTCTGAGCTGAGGCCTTATCCCCAAACTTCAGTTTTGAAGTTCTGGTGGTTTGGACACTTCAAAGCAGATGTTAATTACGACTCAAAGTAGAAACCAGAAAAGAAAAAAAAAGAACAACCTTTCTTGTGTTACAGGTGAAGGGAGAAGAGGAGGAAGAGAACAATCTGGAAGTACGAGAAACCAAAGTGAAGGGTCAAAGGTGAGCAACACACAAAGCCCTGAGAGGCCTTGCTGGTGTTTGGCCCCAGCTCAGGGAGGCCTCTCAGAGCGCACTGGTGAGGGGGTGGCTCCGTGGGCACAGAGCTGCGACCAGGTCCGGAGGGACCAGCTGGTGCTGCTGAGGTGCCTGGGTGGTGGTGGAGCTTCCTAGTAAACCTGTGAAAAGCCGAGTTTAGAGTGCAGCACCAGAAGTAGGAAGGATGGATAGAGCTGTCACGGGAGAAAATGCAGCGCTCTTTGTGTTTTGCATAGTGTGAGTCATGAGTGTACCCGTGTGAGTCCTGTAAGGTCGCCCCATGTTGGGAAGTCACCTGTGTTGTAAGCTTTGAGGACGAGTTCCATAGGATCAGGTTAAAGTGCCTTCTGTTTTTTTACTAATGTTTTCTGGATCTGATAAAAGTTGTTTTTCATGTGCTAGCTTACAAAGCCCAGGTTCACTTTAGAGTTTATACTTTGTAAATTTTCATAGCTTCCAGGCTATCTCTTTTGCTTTAAAATGCCACTAGAGTTTTCTTCTAGTTTTGAGGTGATAGAAGCTCATTGTGGAACAAATTGGGAAAAACGAGCTTATTTTCCTTCTTTAACGTGGTTACCTTTAATGTTGGCTTGGACGTCTACTGGGATAACTTTGCTTGGCATAAACTGGGGTACAGACGTGTTTCACAGGGAACCCCAGCTGGGGTGAGGCTCAGTGCTGCACGCCTGCCTGCATGCCCAAGGCCCTGGCTTCCATCTGCAGCACCACACACACACACACACACACACACACACACACACACACACACGAGAAACCAGTAAAGTGGGGTCTTCCTGGGTCCTGTGTAACCTCAGTTCCACTATTTACATTGTACAGGACACCTTTTCCCGTTTATATAGATTCATAGCTCCAAACACTTTCTTTTTCCTTTTTTGAGACAGGGTCTTGCTAGGTAGTTCAGGCTGGGCTTGAATTCACTATGTAGCCCAGCGTGGCCTCAGACTTACGGCACTCCTTCTGCCTCGGCCTCCCAAGTGCTGGGATGACAGATGTGCACCACCACGCCCAGCAGAATGGTTTTAACTGTTAAACTGTTCTGCTGTTATAGACAAACCTGGGGTGCATATACAGACATTTGTCTTTACAGGCTTGTGTTAAAAGGTTAAAGGTGATCTCATAAAAGTAACACTTTTTGTCGTGAGGACAAAAGTTTGCTCTGAGTGTGAACTGCTGGCTTTGGTCTCGGGTCCCTTATCTTAGCCCTCTTGCTTTTTCCCTTTAGTGGGAGGTTCTTCACCGTCAAGCTCCCTGTTGCTCTTGATCCTGGGGCCAAGATTTCAGTGATCGTGGAAACAGTCTACACCCATGTGCTGCAGCCGTATCCAACCCAGATAACCCAGTCAGAGAAGCAGTTCGTGGTGTTTGAGGGCAACCATTACTTCTACTCCCCCTACCCTACCAAGACCCAGAGTACGCGTGTGAAGCTGGCCTCGCGCAACGTGGAGAGCTACACCAAGCTGGGAAACCCCACGCGCACCGAGGACCTCCTGGACTACGGGCCTTTCAGAGATGTCCCTGCCTACAGCCAGGTGTGCTTGGGTGGGATCCTGCCCTGTCAGGAAGGGGCTTACAAAGCTGAAGTCACCTAGACTGTCATCACCTGCTGTGAAGTCACCAGGTGGAGGTGGTGGTGGGGGTCAGGGTGGCCGGAACTCAGAGAGGGTCGAGGCCTGAGATGGGAAACTGGTGTGGCTGGTCGCAGGGCTGGCTGAGGACTGCAGCGCCTTGGGCTTGGCTCTGGAGGAAGAAGAAGGAAGTCAGGCTAAAGATTTTGTTATTGTGGAAAATTTAACATGGGAAAGAGCGGCCCCCCATGGTGAGATCCCCCCAGAACTGTCGCTGTATTAGTGGTTGTTACCACACCACTGCAGCGGGCCCTCTTCTCTGTTTCTTTCTGGGGAATATTAAAGCAAATCTTAGGAATCCTGTCATTTCACTGTCCGCACATCCAAGTCCTCTCCAAAAAGCATAGCTATTCATGGTGTTAAAGAGCTCTCTTTATCAGTTTGTGTTCAGGACTTGTCATTAACGGTGTACAGTCAAAGTAGTGCATCCTAAAGCCACCTGAAAGAGTTGTTTTCTGTCTGGGCCAGGTGTGGTGGTGTATGCCTGTAATCCCAGCACTTGGGAGGCTGAGGCAGAAGGATTGTTGTGAGTT